TAGAAATGTACTAAATCTAATAGTCGTCCAGTACAGTTATTAAATTCATTAAGATTACTTTATCAAAGAAGTTTCGCTAAAGTCTTCCAAGACAGAGAAATAATAGCTTTGATATGCGTGACATTGGAGCCACATCTGGAACATAATATACTGGAGAAAAAAACACTTAAAATACACTTAAAACAATTGCTTTATAAATACAAAAACAAGTCAATTACTGTATTATATATTATAAATGAGCTGTCTTTCATTTGTGTCATATAGATCCACTCACTTCTGCATGCGGCCAGGATGAGAATAACTACAGCATTTCTTATCTACAGTGTGTTGAGACATCAGGATCAAGGAAACCATGACATCTGTTAGTACTACTACATCAACAATCATCATAGATAAATTTATAATAAATTATATTATATCAATAATTATATAGTTTGTGTGTGGCACATACTGTAAATGCTACTTTAAGTATTGCTGTAGCTCAGACAGAAGAGAATTTCTAGAACTTAAAATTGTGCTCTCTAGCAAGACACTGCAGTACTGCACATTAGGATAGGAATCGTTGCACAATGTATTATGCAATACAGCACCATATATAGTACAATGCATTTGGCTTTTTAAATAAAAACAGGATGGGTATAGAGAAGATGAAATGTAGATGTAGATTAAGTAAATAAATGTATGCATAATACACAAGTGAAGAGGCCAACATGTCAAAGTGCATGCATGCTTAATTCAGGCATGTTGTTTGGTTTATAATGTCACTGCCCAGAATATGAAACTGTCTTTTTTCTTCTTTGTCTTGCATATATATTTCTAAATCCCCCCTCCCCTTTTTCAGAAAGGGTTTTCAGCATTTGCAGCCCAACTCAATGTGACATATTCTATGTATGTGTATTATTTAGGAAATACTACAAACTAAATCCAGCACTGTGCATCACACAAAGCAAAGATACGTTACTAAAAGGCTCTTTTGATTGATTGATGATAGCTAATTCAGTAGCACGCTGAGGCTGTCAGCAACATTTGTGAGGTTGATTGTTACTACTGTGTAAAACTGTGGGTGTTTGGCATGTTAACCCTCCCCCTTTATTTTGTCTTTTCTTCAGGAATTACTGGAAGTCTGATTGTTTTTTCATGAATCTCTCCTTGACTTCTATTCAATCAAATTCTATTTCTCAATCTTTACAGCCACACTACTAGAATTGTTCATTTAATGTTGACAATTACTATTTAAAGAAATGCCTTACCCTAAGATTTTTGCATGACTTTTTTATTTTACATGAAACATTCCATTCATGATTTTATTCATACTCTTCCCCGTTTTGCATGTCATATATTCCTTTAATTCCACAAGGTATTAATCATGTAATCATTCCTATTGAATGTCGTTTAATCTTTTCTCTCTTCTTCATTTCTTTTAGGTTTTGTTTCCTTTTCTTTCTTACATTTGTTTTACTCTTTTATGTTTGCCTGAAAATGTTTAGTGTTCAAGAATATACACATATATACACAAACGCATACAGTATTGTTCTGCAGGCTTATTCTTTCTTGTTTTTTTTTTCTTATTATTTTCAGTTTTCTTCGGGCCTTTATGAATTTTATATTTTATACCAAAGGGTTAAATAATAAAGAAGGTTGGTCAGCATGGTCCTGTTTGCCCCTGCTTTTAGATGCTGTAATAAAAGAAAAAAGAAAAAAAACATCTCTCTTGACAGCCTGTTATTTCAAAATTTCAACTTTTCATTTCAACACATAAATTGGGAATAATGTATTTTCTATATATTAAATGTTTTACCAGGACCCAAGTTTGAAATTGGCTTTAATTTGTTGTGATTAATTCAGTTGTAGTTTTCTTCAATTAAGATTATAAATTAGGTTTTGCCATTTTTGACCTATAAGCTTCAGTATTTGTTACAGAGCAACTGGAATGAGACATGTGCTTTTTATTTGTCTGTCACAGGGCTGCAAATTGAATATTTCATTCCAAAATAATCAGCAGCCAAGAGCTGAGCTGAGCAGAGCAGAAGACTGCAAGTAAGCGTCCAACTGAACCAGACAGCTTTGATGTAGCAGATAAGACAGGAGACCAGACAGGTGGTGGCAAGCACTGATGCCAGCCACTGTGTGTTTTCCATCGCAGATTGTGGACAAATGGATTTCAAATGTGTTGTATTCAGACTTGACAATCAAAATGCAAAAATGATTTCAGGATTAATTGGCCTATTCTTCATCCAGCATATATCTGCATTATGGTGATAAAACTGAAAATCGGCAAAAAAAAAATGTTTTTAAAAGTGGATAGTGGATCAGCTGGCTTTAAAAACAGACATTATGACAAAACTACTAACTATCACATTTTAAATACATAAACAGTTGTTTATTCTACAGCCTATGGTGGATAAAATCTAGCTGCAATATTTCGTGCATGCATCTCTACTCCCCCCTCCTCTTTTGCCTGAAGGGCCAAAGAAATATTAAAAATGAGATATGAAGTAATCATTAATATTAAGCCCACAGCCACTCTTGTCCCTTCAGATGGAAAGCTATAACATGTTGTCCTGATATTTGATATTTCTTTGGTCTCCTGGTTTCTAAAACCACAAGGAATACAAAATGCATGCATAAAGAAAAGCCAGAATGACTTTTTAGCATTTCACGTTACACTTTTACAGCTGACGTTATACAAGAAAGATTTGAAATTAACCACATCCGCCTAGAATACCCTGTTGCTAGGTGACCTGACAATAAAATGACTGACTTTGGGATGGTGGGGGTGGGGGGGGTCACCTTCATGAATATTGATAGCGAAATGTCTGACAAATGGTTCCTGTTTGTTAAGTTTAAGAATGGAGCATCTAAATCTCACTGGTGGAATTACTTCAGCCTCCAAAGACTGACATGATTTCATTGCACAAAGAGTGCATGTGTGTACTAAAAATGTCAAAACAGCCTGAACTGAAATCGATTGTCTGTTTTCATTTGGCTGTTTTTCCCAAGGGCAAGGAAATAAAGCAGGAACACGTATCTGCAGTGCAGGCTATACATTAGCTCATGCACCTCACAACCCTTCAGACTTCTTTATACTTCAGCGCTTGGGTTGTCATGAACACCCTGATATAATTATACTGCAAATAAAAGAGTCTTAGCAGCACATTTAAATGAATCCCGTCAGGGTAAAAATAATGAAAAAGTCCTTTCACTTTGGAGAAGCTTATTTCTGAGGTCTATATATGCGTGATTTGGAGATGAAATCTAGAGAATAAGTAAAAATAAGTTTAATAAGTAAGAGATTTTGTTTGCTAGAAATGTTCTGGAATATACTCTTAAAAAAGGTTCTTTATTGGCATCTATGGTTCCATACAGAACCTGTAGCATCCATGGAAGCTTTCTATTGCACAAAAGGTTCTTTATAATAGAAAAAGGCATATAAGAACTGTCCACTGAATGGTTCTTTGTAGAACCCAAATGATACTTTGGAAATTGAAATATCATTTTCAGGTCTGTGCTCAAAAAGTGGTACTGCATACATATAATTTAGTACCCATAAAATATGTATAAAATGTAAAAAAAAAAAAAATGCATTTTTAAAAATGCAAAGTGAAAATAAATAATATATTTTTTACTCTATAAGATGAAATTCTTCAGTATTTACATTCTGATAAAAAAGAGTTTCATGCTCAGAGGTAAATTCACAAGAGATTGCCTGTGGTTTTTCAACAAAACCTGGGACTTACTCACTAACCACACAGAATCCAGTTTAACCAAATGCAAAAAAAGAAAGAAAAAAAAGATTATGTCAGCAGTCAAATGATAGTTAAGCACACTTTCTAAATGTTAAAGCGCTATTTATTTTAGGTGTCTGGATTGCTAGGTATAGCCCCAGTAGAGTATGCCAGATCACGGGAAGTCTGCTGCATTCAAAACTCCTTCAAAACCGGCCTGCAAGATGAGAATATTAAATAAAAAATCAATCTATAAAATATAGTGCATTAATTTCATTGAAATAAAAAAGTCTTTTTTTATTTTTAACCACCATGCGAGGAGCACTAGATGGTTAAATTGATCAAAATATCCTTATTATATCAATCATATTGTTTGATAATTTTCTCACTTTTCCCATGATAAGTATGTGCATCTTCAAATAATGGCACAAGAAGAAAAATCTACTGTAATAATTATGCAGACTGCAGGTCTGCAGGCTGGGAAATGGCAAGTGTTCTGAGTATGTGCCAGGGCTGCAGACCCACAGCTGTTAACAGACCCAGATGGTTTTGATTTGCAGCTTGGTTCATTGTGACAACTCTGGCTTTGGATGGCCTTTTGAGTCAAGGTGCAACACAGCATTTTCAAAGACTGTCAGTGACAGGCTATGGCTCACCAAAGAGTATCCTTCTGGATAAACAGTAGGTGAATTTTCCCAGAGGAGCAGGGAGACTGTGGTATAAAGGGAAAATAAAATAAACAGGACAAAAATTAAACACAATTAATATTTTTTTTAATGATCTAATAATTGTCTCATTTTTCTGTTCAAGAGTAACCAGCAGATAAAGTTTCAGAAGGAGGTGTCTATGTTTGCCTTTCTTGAGCTCGCTGTTCTCAATGGGCTCCAATATATTGCATGAAAGTGAGATTTGAAATTTGACTATATTCTATATTTACTGATTGTTGTAGCCTACAGTATTGTTAAGCAATATAAAACATTCAAAAATCCATAGAAATTTAAAGATATAAAGAAATGATAATTGAACTTTAAAGTAATGTGGGTTGAATTAATTTCTTTTTTTGTGTGAACGAAAATCCTTTTAACTACTGTTTTACAGCGTTTGAAGACACTGAGCATCAGTTTACTGGATATCAGTAATATTTCAAACAATCGGGATAATCCAGTTATAACCTGTCGCTTAGGTCAGTTAAAGTCACCACTGTGACTTTAAATCCATTGCGTAACGATCTACAGTACTATCGCTCACTGACACAGTAGTAAGTGTGACGCCTACCGTTCACTGCGCGCACTCATTTCAACATAAAGCTGACGCTCGCTCTGAAGCTGCGCCTGATAGTATCCAGTACAAACCAAAACAAGGATTTCAAGCTTTGCAAGTAGTTTTAAAAATCGGGAAATGGACCAGAAAGACACAGAAATGAACGAAAAAGGAGTTTCTTCTTCTACCAGCGGAGTTGTTGTTCAAGTCAGGGAGAAGAAAGGAGCTTTACGCGCTGCCATCCCGTATATGCCTTTCCCAGTAGCTGTCATCTGCCTGTTTCTCAACACATTTGTGCCCGGACTGGGTGAGTACGACGAGGCGATTCGCTCATTTACACACAACCACCTGACCTGCGAGAAATACTGTACTTACACCCGAAATAAACGACATTCCATCAACAAGTTCTTTCAGTGCGCGCTTTAAGTCATTTCAATTTGCTTTGAATAGGCTATACTTATACACTCTAAAAAATGCTGGGTTAAATACAACCCAGTGCTGGGTAAAATAGGGACAAACCCAGCAATTGGGCTGTTTTGACCCAGCGGGTGGGTTAAATGTTTAACCCAACCTTCTGGGTAGTAACCCAACCGCTGGGTCAAAACAACCCAATTGCTGGGTTTGTCCCTGTTTTACCCAGCACTGGGTTGTATTTAACCCAGCATTTTTTAGAGTACAGTTTAAATATATCTGTACTACACGTTTGCAATTATTGTTTATAGGCTACTTTGCAATTGCGATTTGAATGTCTAAATACTTCAGTTAACGCTTATTGTATGTGTTCATTAATTTAATTCATTCATGCATTCCTTAATACGTTTTTATTATGTTTTTAGTGATATTTTTGCATATGGGTCAATGACGTGGCGTTCATTTTTTGTACGTGTCTATTAGCCTACTTAACACAGCAAAACAGAAAAATGCAGTTCATACAGACAAATGGATCCACCTACTGTACAATGAACATGTTTTCAATTTCTGAATTAAAATCAATTTTTATGTGTTTGTGGGGCATGAAGTCAAACGTGGGTGGTACAATGAAGAAAAAGTCTCAACAAAAGGCTGAAAATCTCAACAAGATGACCCTTGAGTAGGTTGGCTAACCTTGTGTTATTATTGCTTCGGAAAATAAATATTGAATACATTTTGTTTGTATAAAAGTGGTACAAGCAACATGTAGAAAGCCATGTTGTTGTCGTGTGACAAAAACATAAACAGGAAATGCTATCTTGATTAGTTCAAGTTGTCATATGGTAAAACCCAAAGTAAATGATATAATATTTTGGCTTGTGATTTAAAAATGCATGATATTTGTGAAAATAATGATTAATATGCTTACACTGTAGTCAAAGTATAAGAGGTATATGTTGTTACTTCATGGTCATTTTTGTTAGAAATTATTTTTCAATATGAATTAAAAGATGATATTTCTAACAGCCAGGCACATGTGTTTTAATATAGATTATTTTTATGATCATGAACAACATTATTTCTTATTGAGCCATAAAGCACCAAACCGCACTTGGAGTATCTGGTCACGAACAGGATCAGATCGTGTTTCTCGCTGACAATTAGGTCAAGATTCAATACGAGCTGTTTTTATTTCATGTCCAATTTTCGAAGTGTGGTAACAGATCCATCACGTGCATCCGAGAGCATAACAGAACAGATAATCAAGATGATCATAAATAATTGCATCCACCCCATTAGCCTGATTGATAACTTGACCTTTTCTCCTTCCTAGCCGGTCCGTTCATCCATCTCGATATTGTCATTTCCAACTTGATTCTCAATCATGTTAGTTCGGTCTAAGTAATTGCTAATCTCTGGTATCTGGTGATGTGTGTGATCAGTTTTTGCGAGCATCTTCTTTCATCCAACACGCCTCTTTTCTTAATTGCCAATAGATTGTGCCATGATGTCAGTCTTCAAAGACCAGATGGGTTGTTTTATTTTCTCTTTAAAAATTCTAGTACCACTGCATTAGACACATTTAAAGCATCACTTTGTAGCTTTCAAAGTATAAAAGCACACATGGCAGAAGAATATTGATCTCCCTTATGTCTAATAAGGCTGGGAAGCATGACCTCAGAGAATGTCTTTGAAAAATGCTAGTAATAGTAACAAAAGGATCATACTCCTGGTTATTTTGCACCAAAGTCTTTCAATACAAAAGCATTGTGCTGAAACTTTACCCGGAACACTACTAATATGCGCCAAGTGAATTGCCTTGATAGGTGAGCTGATACCTTGTGGCTCCCTCCCTCATCTTTTATGGATAATGCAGTACATCAGATATCAATTCTTTTTAACCCCACAGTTATGGATACTTGCACCTTTTTGTTAACGGGAATTGACACAGATTTTACAAATTGATTTGATTTCAATTCACAAGCTTCTCTACTTGATTCAGATTTCAGTATATTTATTCAATTTATTGAGTTGTGTACAAATATTTAAAGTTTAAATAAGGCATTTTTTAAATCAGTTTTTCATATTTTCTACTCCAATTCGTTGTTAAAATCTAAACATTTAAACTGTGGTCGTCCTATGACAAATTTATTAAAACTTGCAATAAATGAGATGCCAATAACAGGTTAGTGTATTGAGTGTCTTCTCTGAGGTAAATGTAACGTGACGCATTGTTTACGAACTGTTTTTTTGACTACTTTTTGCATTTGAAACACAAAATGAGTGAATACACGAGGCATGATACATTTCAGTAAGTTGTATTGTTTTTTTAACATACCTTCTGATGTTCATTCATGATTATTTTATACTATAACTAGTAGTATAAACCTTAAACTGAGGCGTTAAATCACGTCACATTAAATTGATATTGGTTCTTCAAAATTATAATCAATTAAAGGTGCAGTAAGCAATTTCTGAGAAACGCTTTTGAAAGTGAATCAGACCAAGCGCCAAAACACACTTTTAGCCAATCACCAGGAAGTACATGGCATGTTTGTGAATTTGGGGGCGGACCTATCAAGACATGATCCTTTTAAGTAGGGGCGTGCTTGTTTTGTTGATTTCAAATAACAATAGCGTTTTCTTAGAAATCACTTACTACACATTTAAAAACTGGTAATCGATATTGTCAAGCCAGCCCTACTTTTAGCAGGGCATGGGAAATATGCGGCTCTTCTATGGCATCTTTGCCCAGACTTATGCATCCGGGACATTTGCAGTGCTTGGAATCCATCTCTGACAGTTGCAGTTAGATTGAACATACAGTAATCAACCCGGTGACCGCATCACTCAGCCACCTGTGGCCCTCTGGTGTTTATGTCAATATTGGTTTCATCCATCAGGATACCCCCATTGGACCCGTGCCTCAAGTCATCTAATCTTGCAGTCCACTTCAGCATAGCCTTTCCTCCTCAAGTTTCGGCCAGTCCCTCTGGAGTCTGGAGGACATGGAGTGCTTTTGGAGGACGCAAGCATTCAGTATGAATCTGTGCATATGCTGTATAAATACTTACAGAACGAACATGCATTCTACAGGCAGTAATGTGCCTGTCTCGTATCATCTGTGCACGTGGGCATGGTTTACTGAGCTCCTGTCTGCTGCACAGTTGCTCATACATAAACTAGAGTGGAATATTATGACAAGAGAGCCCATGTTTGGATGACGATGATACAAGGGAAAATGCCAAGAGCCAAATGGGGCTCTCTTGAGCACACTGTCTGCGCTTGGGTCGTCAGAGACCATCACTCTAGTTAGTGAGTCATGCTTGACAACCTGCTCTCCTCACCTTTAATTGCCGATACTTTGCAGGGCATGTGTTGGGTGCCAGATGAGTTTAGATTCAAATGATCAAATCATGCTAATTTACATGTGCACAAATTGAGGATCTTATTAAAAGATTTCATGTCCAAACAATGACAGAGCTGTGCATCTGGGTTATTGCTTATGCAGCGATGTTGCATTAAACAGTTCTTTGACGCTAATAATGCAATACTTTTAAATAAGTTGCTTCAGACACTGTGACTAAATCAAGCTAAAAATGTAAATTTTACATAAATTAAAAAAACTAGAAATTTTACCTAAAACAGCAAAGTTTGTCAGGGCCAACTTTAAATTGTGCATGGATGGATGGATAGATATTTTATCATATTTAATAAATGATCTTTTGTCGACCAGGGTGGAAAAACAGTTCATTTCCCATAATGCATTACCTGTGCTGAATCTCTGTAAACTGCAATTTAGTAAATCCCTCTGGTTTTAAACTATTTTTCCTATCCAACACTGCAGATTTAAAATTAAATTGTGACATTGAACTCCTGACTGGCATTTTTTAACACTTTTTTTTTTCTTATGTGTTCAGCCATTCTGAAAATCTGTGGCATCAAAATTATTTTGACAGTTGGATTCACAGCTGTTTAATTTTAGGCTTGCATGCTCAGTTGCACCATTTGTTCAGGCATACTAGAAAAATCTTGTTTTAATTCAGGCTTTGTGTGGCCAAATATGTAGCCTTTTCAAAAATATATTTGGTTTAGATGTAATCAGATATGGATAGAATTTCATCCAAAAAAAGGAGTTTCTCAAGGTCTAAAAGAAGGAAAACTGTTGACTTCTCATCTTGACCTGATCTGAATCTAAATGGGAAGTCTTTTCACATGGGAAAAAAAAAATAAAATTTGTGGTGAGCATGTAGATTTCTGGCATTTAATACATCCCAAGGAAGGATAATAAAGTGCTAAAAGCTTTCCAAAAATAGAGGGAAATATATAGTGAATATCATACAAAACCCTTGTTTGAAACAGACTGTACTTTAAGCCTAAAATTAGAGTATCATTTAAAATGTGAGGGTTGAAGTGCAAAGAAAAGACAAAGGTCCACCACTTCAGATGCATTTAGCTTCAGAAACACAGTTTTATGAAAATGCTAAAACTGAATGTCCTGAATAATTTATTCTAGAATAATGGGTTTTTTTTTTTTTTTTTGGCTTTAATTTTCCCATTTCCACAAGATATTTTTACCTAACCAGGAATGTACAGTAAATCTCATTAACCAGTCTTTTCAGTGATAACCCTGCTGACAAAACAGTGTAAAACTGGTTTCCTGGTCTTCTACTGGTTTAGCTGGTTGGCCAGCTGGTTTAGGTGCAGACCACCTTAGGCTGGTTTAAACTATTTTCTCAGCAGGACAATTTGAGAGATTTGTGTTGCTCATGCCGATGCTATCCCAACACTATTTGAACTGAACCTATCGCTCTAGCCCTGGTGCTCTTCTAGTTTCCATGACAGCAGATATGCTAGCAGAAGCCTGCCTGCCTGTCTCCTCTAAGATTGAAAGAG